CACAGCAGGTGTGTTGTCATTTCTCTGTCATGCAAACTGAGGAATTGCTTTATGTAAAGAAGCATAAAACAATTAAAATGAAACTCAGAATGTTTTATGGCTTTAGCAGTAGGGATTTTTTATAGCTGACAAGGGAAAAGCAGATTAAGCTGGCATAGTGGAAATTAAATTTATTACCACCCGTGTCCTTTTTTTACTAAGGCAGATAGGAAGGCCTTATCATCTACAAGGGGAGATAGTGCTCATGCTCTCCATGTGCAGTTTCCTATGATTAAATTATAAACATCCGGTTCTTTTATATGACCTAGACCCCCAATAAATAACCAACACATCTTTCATAATGGTGAAATATGGACCTACACAGAACAATACTAGGAAGGTTGTAAAGCAGATTTACATCACATTTTGCAGGATTAACAATTTAAATAAAAGCACATTTCAAGTTCCTTTAAAGATATAATGTGTTTGTTTTTTTAGATTTTATTTAAAATGTATTCTTACCTGTTTAAAGTAAACGGTAAACTCTTTTTGAGTGCATTGACTTCTTGAATCCAAATAAACAGTGTGCATTGCACCTTTTAAGTCTGTTTTCTCCTTTGTTTTATAAGTCATCAAGCCTTCTTGTTTGCTGTCAATTAGGTTTGTTTGTAGCACAGTAGAATAATGAACAGGTATTACCAGTCCATCTTAAAAGGTTCCTTATCAGTTTGGAGCCAGTGTGAATGTTCAATGCCTGATGGATAAGTTGGCTTTCTTTTGGGGAGCTACCTATGAAATGAGCTACATATTCACATGGAGCTTTAGTGTTGCCATCAATAAAAAAATAATTAGGCTGTTTCTCCCCAAATGTTACCCTAGTAAGTGTAATAAAGCTGTAAACTGTTTACCTCTATTAATCTTCTGTATAAGGGGCTAAACCAAAACAGCTGTTCTTTTTCTGCAGTCTTTCGGAATGTGAGACACGTTTGTGCGAGTCCTGTGCTTAAATACTCAGAATCTACTATCCCTGCGTATCATGAAGAATTGAACATACTGTAGGCCAGGATTGCCTGCTACATCCCCCTTCACTTCTGTGTATGGGAAATTAAATAATGAATGATATGGGAGAAATTAATCAGGTGATGTGAATAATCACACTCGCACTGTAATCAAAAACTAATCTAAACATCTACAATATCAAACGGGCAATATCTTATTGAAGTCACAAAATACATTTGAACATTTATTCACTAAAATGTTCATTTTTCATGTTTTAAAATATATCCTCCTCATAAAAGAATGTTACCACCATACTTTAAACACACCACATCTGCAACAGAAGTGAAGCAAGTAAATAAACTCTGTAGCATATATTAAGTTTTTTCTCTGTAATAGTTTATGTACAGTATACAGTATTTCAGTGGTTCCTTTAAATTTATAAGTGTGTTTTGGCATTTTCAAAGTTCTATTTGTTCTTTCATCTTATTAGAGATGCTTTCTTGTCTTTTTAATAAGTAGACTTGCCATTAATCTTTTCCTCATTTCTTTTTGTTGAGCTGCCCTTTTATTGAAGTGAAATTTGTCTATATAAGGTCAATATCTTATAAAACTAAATGCCACTTAGAAATAAAGTAAAAATGTTAAAAAACATGATACCAGAAATGTTAATTAGGTATTTCCCATTTACCTCACGCAAAGAGAAAAAAGTATAACTTTTCATCCAATTACAAAAAGGACTTTTTACTTTCAGCATTTGAATGATTTTTTAGCTACAGTTCTTCACTGTGATTATTCGATTAGCTTTGCATCGTGCCTGTTAAGTGCTATCTCAGTTCATGCATTAAAACACCTACTCAGTACAACAGTATTGCCAGATCTAACCAGGTCTCAGAAAGTAAGAAAAGCTAAAGGAAACTTGTCATGACAGCCGATGTCCTTCACCCAGCAGTTACCCTGGGAAACCATCAGACGCTGCTCTGACTGGATCCCCTTTACATGTGATCTGTGTTAATTAGCAATTTTCTACTTATTATTCTTACTCCCAGTTTTCTTGTTAAAGCTGAGGCGACACTTTGCCAGCGCTTTGTCACCGCTCACTTCACCGCTGTAGTACTGCTGTCACTCTGCTGAGCAAGACAGCACGTCACTCTGCGCAGAGGCGGCAGCCTCAAGCCTGCCTGCAAACCCATTTGGTCCCTTTTTCCAAGAGGCTCATGCATCCATTTCTCCCATACCCGAGGCTTTTTTTTTCCGGCCCATGGGCTGTGCAGCAGTTTTCATTTTCAAGCCTGCACAGCAGCAACTACATCCTTCAAATCTGTCTGGCCCCTTTCTCAGGTGGCTCGCCATTCGTTTCTCTTGTACCCGGGGCTCCCTGTTTCCGACTGTGCTTGGCAGCAATCTTGGCCTCAAGCCAGCCTTCACTCTGCACAGCAGGTCTAGCAGCTCTCAGTGTCACCCGGCGCACCAGCCCCAGACCATGTATCACCTGATACAGCAGCCTCAGCTTCAAGCCTGCCCTTCTACCCATCTGGTTGTCTTTTTAGGATTCTCCATCCCCAAGGCTCCCATTTCAGCAGATAGACTGTGTGCAGCAGCTTCGGCTCCAAGCCTGCTCTCCACACCGCCTGGCACAGCAGCCTCAGCTTCACGTCTGCACTCCGGATCTCGTGCCGGCTCCTGGCTGCTGCCCCAGTACCCTGGACTCTCCCTGCTGGCCTCCCCTCCTGCAGTTTCATTCTGTTCCCAGAGGCAGCTTCGCTTGTCCAGGACCCCAGGGCTTTCCTGTGCCCTCACCCTTCCCTCTGCCCAGCACCTCCTTCACAGTTTCTACAGAGTCCAGACCTTCCTCTGTGGCTTTTTCTCTGGCTGCCCTTTTTCCTGCAGCCTTTCCGGCTTCTCTCTGGGGCAGCCTTTTCTCCTGGCCTTTAGGGCACTTTCCTCTCTTCACTTTTTTTGTTTTTCAGGCTGTCTGGATCACTCATTCTTTTCACTGTTTGGTTCCTATGTGCAGCGTGTCGACCCTCGAGCTTGCTGACCTGCGCCCCCAGCACTCCTGAGGGCTGCCCTTCAGAACACGTTTGGGTCACTTTTCAAGGGGCTTGCTATTTGGTTTCTTTCATTACACAAGACTCCCTTTTTCCGACTGATGGGCTGTGTTTATCAGCCTCTTTTCGCCAGGGATTCAGTTAGCGGGCTTCTCTTAGGATCGACGTGCCTTCCCATTTCTTTTTCTATTACTGACCAGCCTGGGCTGATTAAACCACACTGGCCAGTAAACAATTATTTCATTATCATCTCCTTTCACTTTTCACTCCTCCTCTGTCCCAGAGTGCTCGCATCTCTATCAGTCGGGTCTAGGAGGTGGGTGTTCCTCCACTCTCCGGTCTCTTGTGCTTGGATTCTGACAAATCACCAGCCGCAAAACTACAAAACTAGGATGGTGTTAAAGGTGGTGTACAATAGATAGCTCTTCCCCCTGGACCACAATTTAGAAACCAATGCTCCAATAGGGTAATCAGGGATACTGTTATAGTAGGTCATGTCCTTCAGGCCCCCCATAATTCATTTGGTAGAGTAATTTCTTACTCCTCCACCTGGTCTGTTGATCTGCTCTGTAGCAGGGCTGCTGACACAAAACATTTGCTGTGCATCACCCAGCTGCTGTTCTCCCATGGTGGGTATCGTATCCTCTCTTGTGTGTGGAGTGCTTATCGTGCATTTTGATAGTGCCCTAGAAATGCAGCGTTTATTGTTGGCTATCATGACCAGTCAGGATGACCATGTTTATGCAGTTTAGGCCTTTGCAGCTGAGTGATAGAAATTTTGTTTTGCTTAAAACTTAGTTATCATTTTAAGACTATGGTCACTAAAATAATGGTGATATGTAATAGTATCTTATCATTTTAGTTTCTCACCAGATGTACTGTTAATTCATAATTATTTATTTTCATATTTTTCTCTGATATAATTGATATAATTGTTTTTATTTGGTTATTTGCTGAATCTTTTCAGATGTTTCTTTGAACTCTTTGTCCTCAATATAAGTAAATATCTGTATATCTATAGTCTGTAGACATTTTATAGATCGCTTTTAAAGTGAATGTTATAGCTTTACATAGGTTGTGATGTTTTGCTTTTTGATGGCTTTGCTATCCCTCAAATAGATAAAATATAAATAAATAAAAAGGAGGTGTGCATTAGAGTAATACAAATTGAAATGCATTAAATAAACCCTATAATGACATCAGAATCAAAACCCAAAATTGACCCTTTAAAGTTACACTGTTTCAAATACCTTTGCCAAAAGGTGTTTCTCCCATAGATCGCCGAGCCTGCTTTTCCTACTTTTTTTATTCATTTTTTTTACACGCAAAGTACATTGCAGTCTGGAATTCTAACTTTCTATTTTCCGACAGTATTCAAGTACTAACTCTGCAAGCGCAGCTGAAGCATTCTCCTCATAGTACTATTAATGGAACTTGTCGATTTATTGAGGAGCTGCGCATTCTCACCGTGATAAACCGCAGTTTGTACATGTACAGTACGTTGCTTTCAGTTTGTTGCGATTGACGCACCAAGGGCAAAACAGACCGATACACCATGTCTAGTCGTTGCAGTAACAATATGGGCTATAACATTTTTTTTAAATAATATAATATTCACCGTGCGACCCTGAATTGAATGCAGCGGTTAGAAAAAGGGTGGATGGATAAAAATATCAGCAACACCACTAGTCATTGTTCCTTTTTTTTTAAATGTTCTTTTTGTTCTATTATTATTATTATTATTATTATTATTATTATTATTATTATTATTATTATTATTATGACACCGTTGGTATCTGGGTGTAGAAACGAACGAGCCTCGGTGTTACCCAAAAGAGAGAAGAAAACCAAAGATATTTCGAGCAACCCAACACCCATCTCCTTGCTCCCCGCTGTGCTAACCGAGCACCTGCTGCGGCTCTCCATCAGAGCGTCAGGTTTCCTTAGCAACAGGTGCCGTCCAGAAGTGATCTGGAGCCGTCCGCATGTGAACTGCCGTGGCAAAGAGAAAATAAAAGGGTACATGTTAAGTCTTTATTTTGAGATACAGACAGCGGAACACATGCACGGAGGTTCTGTTTTTGAAATTACGTACACAACCCTTTCGCCAGCAGAGTAAATTATAGCTCTAGGTAGTAAACATTAGCTGTTATAGTGCTAACGCAGCGTCAGGTGATTCGGGAGGAGCAGATGGCCCATTTGGAAGAAGCCTCAGATTAGGCAGATAAAAACCTGGGCCTTCTGGTCGTGAGCTGCAGGGACTGGACTGTGTGAGAGTTTCGAGGTAACAAAGCAACAAAGTCCTAACGCTCTCAAACTACAAGAACTCGTTTTCTTGTACATATTCCTTCTGAAATGTGCAGTTAACTGTTAACCCACCTGGTATTCCGTTTATATGTGTCAGGAGGTGGAGCGCGTTTACCCACTGAGTGAGTACAGTTCAAAGATCTTACCTACAGTAACGTGTAAAATTAGGCTACTTTGAATTTAGAATTGCAATGATGAGTGATATGTATTACAGGTTGGAAAAGTAATGTTGCAGTATTTTAATATGCTGGTTTGGAACTACTTACACTTAAAATATTTTACTATAATCGGTGCTATAATATGTATAAATGATATGACAGAGGGTTTGGTTTTGACAAATTATGGTTCAGAAAAGGCTGTTCTAGAACTGTAAAAAATTTGCTACAAATACTAATTTTCAGACTATGGCCTGGTGTCCTAATGTTATAAATCTTTTTATGCAAGAGTTTAATTGAGGTACTGTAGTAAAGCAATGTGCATTTGTGAAACAACTTATATATATATATAAATTAGAATTGCTAAATTAGACTTGCTCTGTCCCCAGTGAGTCTGTTTACTGTTAATGCAGACGATCCATCAGCACTCCTTCAGAACTTCAGTGCTACAAGTTGGTTAGGGGGACACTATGAGTCTGCACACTCTGACCATGTGCCACTCTGAGCAGGCCCTTGGAAGTACAATATGTAATTTCTGAATTACCCAAGGCCTGCTCGCACTGGAGTCAGAGCGTCTGTATGAGTACTGAATTAACTCTCTCCAACACACTGTGACATGCATTCTTTTTTTCTTTTTAAAATTGACATCTTGGTCATTCTGCAGTGAATTGTTAAGATGCTGAATTGCTAAACCCTCCATTGTGTATATTTTTATCCTCCCATGAGATCCAATGAGATGCCCTTTCTTATTAAGAATAATGTAGCTGAATAAATGGCTTCTCTCTTTTACCCATCAGTCTGCAACATCTCTTGTTCCACACCCTTCTATGATTTATTTTAGAAGAGTGATCAAGCTTGATTCATTTGTCCTGACATTAGATTTAAGTGGGTGGAACACTGAGGATTTAAAGCAAAAAGCTTTTTTTTTATTTGGGTTTGTTTTAATGGCACAAATTCTGGGGTAAAATATATATGAATTCACTTATCTTCCTGTTGCTAACATGAGATAGTCTTCAATTGTACAGTATGTATGTAGTATTCATCTGAAAAATCATAATAAAGGTTTTTATGGTTTTGTCACTTGTGTGCAAGCCCTTTATATAAGAGGGCTTAAAACAGATCAGTGAGGAAATCTTAGAGAAGTGATGTGAATGAAATTGTAGGCAGCATGTCATTTAAGAACAGTGAGGTAATTTAAATGGTATCAGACTATGTGACCTTTAGTGAGGGGTAAATGTTGGGGTTAATATTCTGGGGTTAAATACTGGACTAAGGAGATGCAAAACAAGAAAGCTCCAGCACTCTCGTCTCTGTGGCTTTTCCCTTTTGTAGAATGCAGTATATATTCTGAGTAGCAATTGAAATACTCATTTTGACATATTTATTAATAACCAAAGGATAAAAGCAAATAATAAATCTTGGCTTTTGGGAGGTTTAAGAAATAATTAGCAAGATTTATAATCGTTGGAGTAATTGAATTGATCTAGAAATCAATAATGAAATTATATTCATGGCTATTAACAGCTTCTTCATCATGTACCCTAGTGCTCCTTATTAACCTCAAGCACTTTTTTTTTACTTTTTGAATGTGAAATCCATATTTAACACACTTACAAATCAAGGTGACTTTTATTGCAAGGCTCCTCCACTCCATGTATGACAAATTTCACGATCATGGCTTTGATTGACAGCCTTTGGCTGTAATTTTGTATTCTGTACACAGACAGAGTTCTTTTGGAGGTCTGACATTGATACTCTGCCCATTTGATTTGCTATCCTTATAAAATTGATTTTAAATTAAACGACTTTAGGCAGAGCATCTGTTATGGCAAAGTTTACAGCTCTACTTATACCATCCTGGTTATGCTAATGCATGTTTTAAACAGGTTTTCACAAGGGTAAAATCTAATAAAATATGTTCCACTATAAATTGCCGATATGATAAAATTACACAAATTACAAAAGTGTCACAGTATCTTTGAACTGAAAGACAGCTAATGTCATGCTTTAAAGGTTAATTAGTAAATACCCCAAGGTGAAAAAAAGTGGGGAGGGGGTCACATTATCTTTGTGATTTTAAAATATTTTCAACTGCCAAGAAACATTTTAGACAACATCTTCGCATTTGACAGGTCAAATCGCTAGATTATGTGATCCAAAGGAATGCTGTGGATATCTGTAATATGTGGTTGTTTGCTGATCATCATAGGACAGACAGACAGAAAATATCTTGAGTATCTCATGTGAACAGTGTTGTGGGAAGGCAAGCCGGGGAAGAAGCAAACCCCATTATAAGTGAAGGACTGCCATGAAACTTGACAGAAAGCTCAAACTAGATAATTGAAAAATAAGCAATTATTTTTTATTCCTTTAAAACTTACACATACATTTTTGATAAAACGTGTATTTAAGCAGTTTGTAGACAAGTGTGTCTCAACATTTTCAAATAAAATATACAGTAAAAGTTTAAAGCTGTATCCTACCTGGAGATGCTGTCAAGCCCTTCTTCATACAGTACAGTATGTCTGCGTACACCACTATTTTTCATGTTATTTATTGTTCAGATTTAAAATGTACTGTATGTCTGGCTGAAATTACTGTACAGTACACACAGTAAACATTGGAAATCATAATTTTTTAAAATAACATCAATATTTTCTTTTTGTTCAGATCTCATTTTAGAATAGTGCATTATTATTCACTGTCTAGTGTCTAAGATGCAGCACTAACCTGAGGAAACAGATACACTTATTGTGCCCTGGAAAATGGCCTATTAGGTTGTACAGCCTTTTATGCTTCATACCAGAAGCTGAATCGAGGAAGTGACCTGTGAGACTGGTCTGGCTTACTGCGACTCTGCCCTGTTGCGCAGGACCCTGCTGAGCAGCAGGAGTCACCACTGTTCACTGATCAGGTCATCCCCATGTTGGTTCAACACAGTCAAATCCTAATGGCAGTCAGCCAGTTTCCTCACCACAGTGGTGAGTCTCCGCCACAGTCAAGCTTGCAGAAACTGGTGAACGCTAGACATGAGTGAATGCTCAGGAGGACCTGGCAGAACTTCATTTTAAATCCTCCAAAAATTAGAACTCTTTCTATTATTAAATAACACAGAAAAAGGACAGGACATCTATGTTTTTTTCAGTGGAGTACTAATCAGAGATAAGATGAGCTAATGCAGTTTTGCAGCATGTTGTTGAACTTCAGGTATGTTCTGATATAGACAAAAGGATAGGATACGATTATACTTAGAGATCTCTAGGGAATGATATTGGGAGTCATTTCAGACAAGGTCATGGTTGTCAGCAAGATCCGTTTGTCATATTGCAAGAGTCATATTGTCTTCAGATCATGATCAGATTCCATGACCATTTTAATAGGTATCATGCAGCACACTTTAGGCCTGAAGGCCTCTACAGGATACTTTATTTTCTATTAACTAAGCTTTGATTTGTATTTTTTAATCTTCAGATATGAAGATGATGAACTATTAAAAATAAAATACAGTATATTATATGCATAGTTGGGATATTGGGTATGTTAGACAAAATAAGCAATTACAATTCTCATTTTCCCGTCTAATAATATAAAATCCTTTCATATTGAAACAAAAAAAATTACAATCAGTCTTTGACTTAATGAAAACACTGAATGTGGTCCTCTACCGTTCCATCCTGCCAGTTTATTTAGACTTTTGACAGACTGCTCACCTGCAAGGCACTATATAAGAAACAAGTACTGACTGGAGCTTTAAATGTGCTTTAAATCAAAGAAATACTGACGGACAAAATCCCATCCAACTCTGGTGAAACTTGTACACTTGTGAATCCTGATCACATCTCTACCGACAGAGTCTGGGCTTGATCCAGTGACATCTGGGCTAAACGATTCCATCTTCTATCTGTGCAAGTATCTTCACTGCTTGAGCCATTTAGGAGTCCCATGCTTTGATATTTTAAAAGACATTTACACTTCATAGGACATTTACTTTACAGATGGATAATACCCCTTTACCATACCAGAGCAAGTGTTCTGTGATGCGTCTATTTTACACATTTTCTGATTCTGTTTCAGATTCTACTGTAAATCCTGAGGGAATGTGGAGCAGTTCCCTTAAAGCAAGGCATTTCCTCAGAGGAGATGGTCTGAAGCTCTGAAAACCAGCATCCTGAACTTCCATAGCTAATTGGAGTACAGTGCTAAATGTTGCTTTTGGTACTGTTCATGTCATGTTGCAGTGCCTTATGATGCCCAGCAGTTTTATTTTGTATTAATCTGATCAGTTAAATGAACAGTATTTCTATAAGAAAACAACAAGCCCATTGTAATTGCACTCTGAAGACACAATCATGACCACTGTTCAAGTGTGAATTTACTGTATTTGTGTAGCTAAGGTTTCTTCTTTTTACAACCTTTTCACCACTTTGAATTTCATTTCACAGTACCATCTCCTACAGTTTGAAGTCTGTGATGGAAAATCTGTTTGTTTCATGACTGAATTGCTATGTGTACACAACAGCATGCAGTCATTTGACAGCCTCTAAATAAATCATTATC